CTCGGCACGGATCGGTTTCGGAACTGTGGTGGAAATGCGGCATCTGTCCAAACGCTCAGCGGCTCGTCTCACCTGCAGCTGCTCGGCGAGCTCTGCAGAGTCTCTGAAGATCAGGCCGTTCTCTTCATGCTGCACCAGCTCCTGTAGACTGGAGAAAACAGACTTCCTGTTGATCTCAGTGCCAAGACGAAATAAAAACATTAAAAACAAAAGAATTGCAAGAGTATTTTCTGCCGAATAAAAAATACAAAACGCAGGAATGAATAAGTCTAATTTAATGCTCTTTTAATGATCTTAGAAATAATTTTAATGCCATCAACCATTACTAATGACATACACACAGACACATGTATATGTACCTATATGTATATACACACGTATATACATACATACATACACACACACACGTATATACTTATATATAAACACACAGCAAAATCCTTCGTCATCTTTACCGTCGACAGGCTGCAGCCATGTCCCGAATTCCTCGTTTACGATCAACCGGAAGCAGTTCCGCGCAAAAGTATTGCGATAAAATATCTCAGACGAAAGTGTTTTTACATTTTTTTTTCATAAAGCATTTTAAATGCCACGATACTCACATTTAATTCATTTTAATGCCATTAAGGCCTTCATTTAAAAAATTATTTAATAAGTTTTAATGCTTTTTAATGAAACCCTGAAAAAAAGAATAAGAAACAAGAAGCTAATTTATAAAGAGAAAAGAAAAAATGAACACATAGTAAGCAAAAAGGAGGAACTAGAAGTGCAGAGGAACCATGAAAAGAGAAGGACAAGGAGAGAAAGACGGATGAAACGGACAGAAAGGTAACAAGGAAGGAAACAAAAAGGGAAGGACAGAAAGGACACAGAGCGACAAGGAACGAATCTGGATTTTCCTGTTCTGTCTCATGCAGACCTGGAATCAGAATTCCAGATTTTCCCAGACTACCCAGGGTTCCCGCTGCCAGGATGCGGTTCTCACCAGTGGAAGTGGATGGCGCAGACGGGGAGGCAGCAGCCAAACATGTCCACCACCTTCATGGGCAGGTCCAACCCGCTGGACGACTTGTGGAGACAAACTCCCAGATCTGCAGAACCTGAGAGACGAGAAGACGAATGAGGGAGGAGGAGGCAGACTGGTTCTGATCCACGTTTGGGAAACAAGGCTTCTGAAATACAACCACCAGCTATGAACCCAGGATAAAAAACTACTTTAGGAAGAAGAAAAATCTGAACTGAAGGAGCATCAAACCTTTTTTCATCAGTTTGTCATTTTAAATAAACACAGCAGGACCTAAAGATTATGATAAATGACTCAATAATCCGTAAATCTTCCTCCGTTTATGTCAGAAGTCAGTCTGTGCAGCGAGGAGATGAAAATATCGATTAAGAAAGAAAAAGTCATATTCAGAATTAAAACTTCTGAACGTTCTTTAAATCAGAAATTATTACATATTTTTCAATAAGTAAGTGTTTTTAATTCAGAGTAATTTTTATTTGAATGTACTTTACTGGAGGCATCCATGTTTGTCAAAGAACACTACTGCCACCTACTGGTTTGTGACGTCACGGTGCGGTATCGGCTGTTGATCAAGTCCCAACTTTTGGGACAATATAATCTGATAAAGTGTACATTTATATACATGTATATTAAGCCTGAATAATTTGACATTTAATGAAGTAGTATTATTTTTTTTTTAGACTTTAGAAACTCAGAAGCTGATCAAATATCGGGTTAAATATCGGTGGGGTGGCCGATGTCCGATATTCAGTTTTAGGGGGCCGATTATATCGTGCATCCCTAGCGAGAAGTTATTTTTTTCTTAAATAAAAATTTTTTTTTTTAAATTTTAATGTTTTATTTAGATTACAAAAATAAATCCTA